TGTTTTTGCAAAAAAAAATCTCATCCCTGTTTTCAAATCCCTACACCGCCTCCCTCATCCAGTCCCCACAACCCTTCAAATCTGCAAACCTCTGCGATAGCCCTATCTGTAATAGCTCCACCTCTAATCCATTCTCTCTCTCTTTCCTCCTTTACTCAATTCCTTAAAATCTACCCCTTTGACCAATTCCTCTGATTAAGTGTCTCCGTGTTGTTGGAATTTTATCTCCTAATGCTCCTGTGAAGGGTATTTCATGTTGTTGGAAGGTGCTATATAAATATAAGTTGTTGTTGATACTGTTGGGGGTGGAGAGGTACTGGTCTTTGGGATCAGAGGGGGAGAAAGAGAAATAATGGAGAATCCTCCTCTAGGTTCATGCAGAGTCAGAAGTCACATGACACCATTTTATAGTCCAACAGGGTTATTTGAAATCACAAGCTTTTGGGGTGTAGCCCCTTCACCAGGTAAAGTCTGATGAAGGGGCTATGCTCCGAAAGCTTGTGTTTTCAAATAACCCTGTTGGACTAGAACCTGGTGCCGTATGATTTCTGACCTTGCCCACCCCAGTACATTCACATAGAGTGACTCTCCTCCTGCCAAGATGATGGTGGCTTAAGGTCGCTTTTCTTTTCCTCTCTCTTCATTCATGGTATGAGGGTGTTGCTGGCCAGGCAGCATTTATTGCCCAGAGGGCAGTTAAGAGTCAGCCACATTGCTGTGGGTCTGGAGTCACATGTAGGCCATTAGTGAACTAGATGGGTTTTTTCCAATTATTGACAGTGGCTTCATGGACATTGTTAGAGCCTTAATTCCAGATATTTATTGAATTCAAATTCCACCATCTGCCAAGGCAGGATTTGAACCCTGCTCTCCAGAGCATTATCTGGGTCTCTTGATTAACTGTCCAGCAATAATACCACTAGGCCATCACCTCCCCCTTGGGTTTGAGCCTTGTTGTCAGTGGACAATTTGGCCTCACACACGGTCAATGAGGATGCATTCTGACCAAGTCCAAGAGTGTGGATTGCTGTCCCAGATGGTGAGGAGGGGAAGCCATTGGGTTGGTGACTGGGACAGAAAAGGAGTGATCACTGAAGCCAAAGCTCCTTAGACAGCACCTTTCAAACCCACAACCGCTAGAAGGAAAAGGGGCAGCAGAAACATGGCAACACACCCCCCTGCAAGTTCCCCTCCCCTCCAAGACACTCACCATCCTGAAATAGATCGCCGTTCCTTTGAAGTGCTGGGATTAAATTCCTTCCCTAAGTGGGGAATTGTGGGGGTGTGTCTACATGGACTGCAGTGCTTTGATAAAGCAGCTCACCACCACCTCTCAAGGGGGCAACTAGGGACAAATGCTGGGCACAGCCAGCAACACCCATATCCCATGAGTGAATAAAAGCATATATGTGTGTGAGATCGCACACGAAGAAAGAAGCAGGGTTTACATTGTGAGAACTGAATTAAATGGTCACCATGGAGAGAGAGAGACAGAGACAGAGAGAGTGTTGAAGAGTCTCAATGGAAAAGAAATGCTTTTTGAGCTTTTTTTTCCTTAGGGAGTAGATGGTGTCATGTCTGGAATGCAATCTTTCAGGAGCTGAACAATGTGATTGTAATGTTGAGTTCAACATATCAGTTGCCATTGAGAAACAAGGTGAATTTCAAACAGTTCTTATCTTTTCTGGAATTTTACCTGTGACTTAGCTGCCTGTCTTGAGAATTTGACTGAGTCAGGAATGGGGGAGGGGGTGGGGAGAGGGAGGAGAGGAATGCCAGCTTTATTTCTGGGTGTTATTGGTGGGGGGAGGGTTTGGTGCTAGTGAGAACAGAATTTGTCCAGATTTCCTTTTCTGTCAGACTTGGCTGTTGTCTTGGACTCGGACGCTCATACGTTCAAGCCTTTCTCTGGAGTTAGGAAGATGTACCCCAGCCTGACCCTCCAAGTGCAGGGCAGAGAGAGTGCTACACTGTCAGAGGTGCTACACTTTCAGACCCAAAGCTCAATGAAAGCCTTGGAGTCTGCATCCGGAAAACTGTGCGCTGTTTTGGCCTCCTTTTCTCAGGAAGGATGTTACTGTCATCGGGGGAGTGCAACAAAGGTTCACCAGGTTTGTTCCCAGGATGGCAGGACTACGCTGTGAAGAGAGATTGAACAAACTGGGTCTGTGTTCTCTTCGAGTTCCAAAGAGTGAGGGGTGATCTCATTGAAACTGACAAAATACACTCCAGGGAATGACAGGGGAGATGTTTCTTCTGATCGGGCATTAAACTAATGGGTTACATTAGCTGTTAATTTCTTAATCAATCTTTTGTTTATTTGTTTACGGTTTGCTGATTCCCAAATCGCTTTTGGGAAGGTGGCGAGATGCCTTCTTGAACCACTGAAGTCCTTTGGGTGTAGGGTCACCCACAATTAGGGAGGGAATTCCAAGATTTTGACCCAGTGACACCGAAGGAACAGCGATATATTTCCAAGTGAGTGGCTCGGAGGGGAACTTGCAGGGGCTGGTGTTCCCATGTATCGCTGCCCCTTGTCCTTCTAGATAATAGGGGCCTGTGGGTTTGGAAGGTGCTGTTCAAGGAGCCTTTAGTGATTTCTGCAGTGCATCTTGTGGATTGTCGCAGGTTTGGAAGGTGCTGCAGAAACCTGACTGGGTTACATGTCTTAGACACCATGGTACAAAGTCACCAGCTATTGGTTGTGGTTCTAGCTTCAATTTCCTTGGTGTGGCAGTGGCTCAGAATAAAGCTTGAGTTGCTTCATCGCCAACATTGCCCGGCTCGGAGTACAGGGACTGGCTGTGTTTGGTGAGCTGACGTAATGATCTGCTTTCAGCACCTTCTGACAGTGCTGCCACCCCTTGTGGGACCTGTGCTGGGACTGTTAGCCTGGGACCCATGCTCAGCTCCAAGCTCCTGACTTAGGAGCTAAGACTGAAGCCTACATGAGTTGGTTGCATGGTGAACTTTAGTCCCTCTCTCTGTTCCTTATCGTCCTGGTTCAATGTAGCAACAATGGGAAGCCTCCTTGTGCAGACAAATACAGAGACAGGCATACGGTCACATATGCCATTTGGATGTAGTGCCTCCAAATGTTGCTCTGCTCAGTCCAGGTGAAACTTACCATCCCACAGCAATGGTTTGAATTTTTAAAGACGGCATTAATTTAGCTGAATCTTTCTAAAGTGAGGCCTGTATTACTAAAGGAAGCTACAGTGAACCAAACTTCAAGAATGCTAGAGAAACTCAGCAGGTCTGGAAGCATCTGTGACAGAGCTAACGTTTCGAGTCTGCTATGAATTCTTCAGAACTGAAGACGAGTCACACTGGACTGGAAACGTTAACACTGCTTCTCTCTCCACAGATGCTGCTAGACCCGCTGAGTTTCTCTTGCATTCTTGGAGTTTGTTTCAGATTTCCAGCATCTGCAGTATTTTGCTTTTATGTCGGTTATGGTGAACCGATATTAAAAGCCCAGGTTTGGCCTCAGCTGGAGTATTGTGACCACTTTGTGGAAGAAAGCATTGGAAAAGGGTCTAGAAAGGATTTACAGCGATAGTTAGCTTTGTGGATCTTTTAGAAGAGCTGAACTTCTCTGTACAGAAGAGCAGCCTGGGGGATATTTGATATTCAGAGTCAGGAAGGCTCTGGAGAGAGTGTATAGCAAGAACGTTCCCCATCATTGGAGTGGTGGAGAAGCTGAGGAGACAGATTTAAGATGAAAGAGAACTAAAGTTACCACGGGGGAAAATGATTTTCACGCAGAGTGGTTAGGTTCTGTAGTTCGCAAGAGACAAGTCTTTCAGAAGAGAATTGGATTTAATTGGAGGAGAAATTCGCAGGGCGCTGGGAGAAGGCAGGCATGTTGTTTTGGCTTGAATTGCTCATTGAGAGCCCAGCATGCAATAGTGGGCTGAATGGCCTTTTTTTTTGTGTTGTAACCATTCTGCGATTCCAAACATTTTCATTTTTATAGTTATCTCCTCACCTGAGGAAGGGTACACTCAGAGTGTGCAAGAAAGTTTGGCCAGCTTGGGTGAGAGCCTGGGGGGAGGGTTGCCGGGGGGGGGGGGGGGTGGGTGCAGGGTGGGGGGGGGGGGGGGAGTCCTGTCTCTGTGTGTGTGTGTGTGTGTGTGTGTGTGTGTGTGAGAGTGTGGACAGAGCCCTTCGTGTCTACAGCTCAGGAGAATGAGAGCTGAACTGATTTGAAATATAGGATTATGGGAGGCTTTGATGGGACAGAAACCAAGATGTTGTTTCCCCCTGACTGGATGAGTCTCGACCTAGAGGATCTGTGTCAGGGGGCAGCCATTTCAGACCGAGGGGAGGTGAAATATATTTGAGGGTTTCGAACTGTGGAGCAATTACAAAGCCAGAGGGCAAGGGTTGAATGGGAATGAGGCAGAGGTGGATGGATACATTTTGAACGTTTTGGGAGTAAATCTTTCTGCGTTACCAGTGTAGAAATTAGTCAGATTTGCCTGCAGTCTGGACTTGAGCCGATGGCTCTGAAATTAACTGTGGCTCTCTCTCTTATTTATATAAAACCTAACCAATATCAGGCAACCGATGACCTGGTGAACATCTCGTTGCTATTTTATGAAGTCTTTCTGTGCGGAATCAGGTTGCTGAGTTTTCCTACGGTCATAATATTCGTTGTATCCAGGCGTGATAAAGCGCTTTAGCAGCTGAGAAATATTCTGGGACACTGTAAGGTTGTGAAAAGTGTGATTTAAAAATTCTATCTTTGAATCATTACAACTTACTGTATGAAGGCTCATTGAGTGCCTGAAGGCTTGCCCTTACCCTATGAGCTTGCTTAGGAAGGATTGACATTAGCTGATGGTGGGGGGGGGGGTGACTACAGAGATTGTCACTCAGTCTGTACCGTTGGCCATAGCCCACTCCTTTGGGAAAGGTGAGATGACGTTAAGTGAGAGAGCGATTTAACAGCAGGGCAATAACCGCTGGCAATTTTTCTTTTTATTTCGCTGTAGGAGACCCCTACTTCAGAGGATTTGAAGCACTTTGCTAAAAAACTGAAGAAGAAACGGATAATTATGGGGTTCACACAGGCTGAGGTGGGCCTGGCTCTCGGCGCTCTGTACGGTGCGTCTGATGCATGCTCGATGCGTCGAGATTTAAAAGAAAAAGGATTTTGTTGAGCTATATTTAAGTAGAAAGCAGCAGGGGTGACTGTTAAATTGGTCTCTTTTTGGTAAGGGTTGTCTACTTTGGTATCAGTTGTGGGCTGATAATGCCTCTCGACAGAATCTAATTCCATTTTGGAGAATAAGGGAAGTGAGCTAAAGACTAATCTCGTCATGGACTTCTGAATGAAGTGAATCCTGGACCAAGTGATTAGATCACAGCCTGCTTTCTTCTGTTGCAATTTTTTCTTTATAAAAAGCCCTGCACTTTGCTCCTTTCTGGTCCTAGAAATGGGTTATGTAGACTACACAGCACACAAAAAGGCCCCGCCAGTCCATCGGTAGTGTTTCTGCTCCCCTCAAGCCTCCTTCCATCTTTTCTCATTGAAATCTTTCATTGAGAACCTATAAAAGGTCCTGGGCACGGTGGCTCAGTGGTTAGCACTGCTGCCTCACAGCGCCAGGGACCTGGGTTCGATCCCACCCTCGGGCGACTGTCTGTGTGGAGTTTTCACATTCTCCCTGGGTCTGCGTGGGTTTCCTCCCACAGTCCAAAGGTGCACAGGTTAGGGTGGATTGGCCATGGTATAGTGTCCTGGGATGTGCAGGCTGAGTGGATTAGCCACGGGAAATGAGAGGTTAAGGGGATGGGGTGGGATGCTCTTTGGAGGGTCGGTCTGGACTCAATGGGCCGAATGGCCTGCTCCCACACTGTGGGGATTCTATGATTAAGGAAAACAAAGAATGTGGTTATGTTCCTGTCTATCGAAACTTTAAGTGAATCATGGGAATTGAGGTTAAACCAGAGTTGGGTCCCTTTGGTTTGCATAGGCAGAAGCTGGAATCTTGTACGGTTATGTTTGCAGCATTGTGTGACCCGAGCTGAAATAGCTTGTGAAATAAACCACAGAATGTAATAGAAATGCAGCAGAAATTAGATATCATCAACAGACTGTTAAGCACAGGCCTCAATGGTTTTTGTCCAGCTTGTCATGAGCCTGAAACTCAGCCCTGCCTGTCACTTTCTGTCCCAAGCTCCTGTTTCAGCCCTGAGCAGTACAGACGCTCCCCCCACCCCACCCCCCTCTCTCCCTGGCCCCGGTGGTGCTGATAGTGGAGCACCCTCCTGTCCTGGACCAGTGCCGAAATCCAGCTTCTGTGCTCTGTGTCGTTCTAAATACAAACCGAAAGAACTGCGGATGTTGCAAATCAGGAATAAAAGCAGAAGTTGCTGGAAAAGCTCAGCAGGTCTGGCAGCATCTGTGAAGGACAAAGAGCAGATTCAACGTTTCGCGGTCCAGTGCCCCTTCCTCAGAACTCCCTTCTGAGGACCCGAAACATTAACTCTGTTTTTTTTCCTTCACAGATGCTGCCAGACCTGCTGAGTTTTTCCAGCAACTTTGTCTCTGTGTCATTCTGTTTAATTCAGGGGGCTGGTGGGGTGGTGGGGTGGGGTGCGTGCTCAGCGATGGCCATCAATTTATTGAGGACTGTCTGGTCCAGGGAATCCGCAATCCCTGTTCCACGCTCCTGATCGAAGGAAATAGGGCAGCGGGTCTGCATAGCAAGATCCCTTAGAAAGTGTCACAGTGGCCTGGGTGTTGTTAGTGATCTCGTTTGTTGGGGGAAAGGGGGAAACGCTGACCAGCCAAGCTGGGGATCTGTCCTTGGTCTAGAGGAGGTCTCGGCTCTAACGTGGCATTGGGGAGGCACTGTGGGGCCCCCTCGGTACTGCTCCTGGGGGGAGGGGGGGGTATCAGCCTGAAGGACACTCCCGAATCCGTCAGCGGAGGCTAGAACCTCAGGGCTCTGAGGATAGCTGGAGACAAGCCTGAGGATGGGCCACTGGTCTCCCCTGGTTCTCAAGCCTGTTCTCCCTGCTTTCCCTCCAGGCAAGATGTTCAGCCAGACCACCATCTGCAGGTTCGAAGCGCTGCAGCTGAGCTACAAGAACATGTGTAAGCTGAGGCCCCTGCTCCAGCGGTGGTTGGAGGAGGCTAAGGACAATGAGAACTTCCAGGAGGTGAGTGGGAAGGGAGTGGACCTGCAGCTTTCCTGATGCTTTTGTAACTCACCTCCCAGTCAAATAGCTGGCCAATATATTTTTTTTTTCTGAAGGACCAGGAGAGCAGGCGAATGGGAACAGCACCATTTGTACGTGACCCTCCAGCTCTCTCTCACCGTCCTGACTTGGAACTTGTATCCTAACGCCCCTCCAGGGACGGAAATCTGCCGTCTCTACCTGATCTGGCCTGTGTGGGATTTCAGACCCCACAGTAAATGTAATTGCCTACTGAAATGGTAAGGGCAGTTTGGGCTGGGCAATAAATTTCCCTGGAGCGTCAAGGCTGAGGGGTGACCTTATAGAAGTTTATAATATCATGAGGGGCATGGATAGGGTGAATAGCCAAGGTCTTTTCCCCAGGGGTTAGGGGAGTCCAAAACTAGAGGGGCATAGGTTTAGGGTGGGAGGGGAAAGATTTAAAAGGGACCTGAGGGGCAACTTTTTCACGCAGAGGGTGGTGCGGGTATGGAATGAGGTGCCACAGGAAGTGGTGGAGGCTGGTACAATTACAACATTTAAAAGGCATCTGGATGGGTATATGAATAGGAAGGGTTTAGAGGGATAGGGGCCAAATGCTGGCAAATGGGACTGGATTTATTTAGAATATCTGGTCGGCACGGACAGTTTGGCCCAAAGGCTCTGTTTCCGCGCTGTACAGCTCGATAACTGTATAAGACCCACGGTGCATGGAACAAATAAAGAAAATA